GCTTCTTTTACCAAAAAAAAAAAAAAAAAAGTCAATTTACATTTTGCTACTTTAGAGAATTTCATTTGTTTGGATAATTAGCATTTTGGGTATATCTGAATTTTGTAATTCAGATAAATTTAAGATGATATACAAAACAATCACCTTTTTGTCAATCACACATAACATTATGTGTTTACAAGGTGCACGTAAAATTTTTTAAATCATCCATAACCAATATCCTTCCTTTTTCTCTGACATATCTGCATACTGTAATTTAAGAATAGTAGTGCATTATTCATTCTAAAGCACTTTTTCCTAGGGAACTACTACTTATCCTCCAAAATCCAGTTGAAATATGTTAGCAGTTTTTCCTAGACAATGCTTATTTGTAGTCCTGTAGTTGAACATATCTCTTAGAGGTCTCTTATTGCAGCCTGTAGACTCAGAAGGTAAGGACCTGTCCCTTGTTTGTCCCAGAGTCTCCACAGGCTACCATCCTGCCTGATACTGCAGATCATCTATGCAGATTTGTTGCTTTGCCCCTTCTGCCCTCCTCCTGAAAGAGTATTCTATGAAATCTTTTGAGAGTAGGAGAGAAACTTGAGAGATTAAGTCAGGGTTATTTCTTTAGGAGCTGCAATTGGGAGAGCAAATAGTTTTGCTAGCTCTAATCCTTTTCTTCTGATTTCTTATTTATATTATGAAGAAAGCTATGCATGCAATCACAGAGGACCAGGGTTCAGAGCTACTATGCTGGCAGGAAGGGTGCAAAAGAAGTTTCAAAATGACTGCGCACTGCTAGGCACCTCAGTTTCAGAGCATTGTGTCTGGTCTACAGCACTGGGATTCTGAGAACCTAAAACTTCCTGGCTCAGAAACACATTTGCAATTATTGAGCTCAGAGAAAGCTCTTCTGAAAATTTCATTTGGTAGAAATGTGACTGGGGATTGGAAGAGTACCCTCGAGCCTTTATAAATGAGAAGGATGTTCGTTACTTGAAATGCTTTCTTTTGTTCTATTAATGAGAAGAAAGCAAACCGAAAAAGCACTGTTTGCCCAAATTTCACTCTCACAGGTATTTCAACTGAATCACTGTAAGTAAAGCGAAGAGAACAACAAGGTTAGAATGGTGTTGGACAGCATACTCATCACTGGATAAGGTCCCAGGACCTGGGATCTGAGTCTCCAGGTGAAAGGTGAGCTGCTCTCTGAGTAATATATTTATCCTCCCAATTCACATGACTTAAAATCAATATAATAATGTCTGTGAGTGACTTTCTGTCAAGACCAGTTATGTTGCTGGATGTGATGGCCCAGGCCTGCAATCCTAGCATTCTGGGAGGCTGAGGCCTGAGGATCACAAGTTGAAACTCAGTTCAGGCAACTTCATGAGATTCAGTGGCAAAATAAATAAATAAAAAAAAATAAATTAAAAAACAACTAAAAAGGCTGAGGGTGTAGTTCAGTGCAAAGGCCCTGGGCTCAATCCCCAGTACTGCAAAAAGATAATGTAAAAAACAAATAAAAAACAATCACCTCAGGGACACAGTAGTTGAATTACACCAATCTCTCACCCTTCTAAAAAATTACCGTGTTAATGGCTCAGTCATTCATTCTTCTAATTTTTATCCAACACCAGACATAAACCACTAACTTCGCCTGAGGTCTCAAGTGACCTGTCTGCTCTTCTAACATTGCTCTCACATGACAAAGTAAAATCAAAATGTCTACTTCATGTCAAATCAATATACTCCTCTGGCCTAGCTTCCATAAATTCAAACAGAAATCCAGTGTATATGGTTGGCCTGACTATTCAGGAAAACCAAATGTAATATTTTAAATTTGGTGCTATTTGGAGTGGTTCAAAGGAACTGGATCATTTTCTCTGAGGTTTTCAAGAGCTGGGATTCTCTGCTGTGCTCTCTTTTCTGTTCCTAATGCATGTAAAAGATGGTTAAAAACTTACATTTAAAAACTAACTATAGCTTAAAACTCTTCTCTGTGTTACAGGCTTATTTCTACTTTGTTTTGGCTCCCAAAACCCACATATTTAAAAATCCTGATTAAGAATTGACTTCTTCTTTTTATTTCTCATAGTCCCAGGACTTTTCTTATCTAAACTGTTGTTAACATCCACATGGTCCCTCAAATAACAGAGATATGTACTGTTCATTGGCCTTCATCCCCACTAGTACCCTACATCTCCAAGCTATGGTTCCTAAGATTCCCTCGACATTACCTAGGGACTTCTCAGGTAAGTGTTCAGGCTTCCTTTATCTTCAGAGATTCTGAACTAGACTCTGATGAACAACTCTGATGACTACACCACCATGTTTTTGCAAGTCTCCAGGTGACTCTGATACACAATGGAGCTTGAGAATCATATATATATATATATATATATATATATATATATTTATATATGATAATATAAATTATTATTATTTTTGCAGTGCTGGGTATGGAACCGAGGGTCTTTACAATGAGCTATATGCTTAGCCCTATTTTTAGTTTTTATTTTGAGATAGGATCTCACTAATTTGCTAACTTTCCCAGGCTGGGTTCAAACTTGAGATCCTCTTGCTTCAGCCTCCCAGAGTGATAAGACTACAGGCACGCACTATCACACCTTGCTAATCCACCCTGCTTTAGCCCAACAACTGCAATAATTTCCCTTTCTAGTCCCATTCTTCCCCTTTCCAAGTCATTTTCTTCCCAGTAAAGTAATTTTTATTACTAAATATACAGTCACTTCTTTACTTACTACCTCCTAGTGCTTTTTAAATTCACTTCAAAATAAAAGTAGTAAGGTTTACCATGGTGTACAAGGAACTGGATTAATATGGCTTTTACATCTCCCCTGACTACCCCTATCTTTCTTACTGATTACTCTGTAGCCTTGTCAGCTTTCTGACTTGCTTGGTGACTCCCACCTTTTACGGTGCTAGTCATCCAGTGGATCCTTTTATCTCTACTTCCATTATTTTCTCTCCTACTATCACTCCTGTTACACTTTGGAAAAACTACATACATGCGTGTTTATTTGTATACCTTGTTATTCCATTCTAGACCATTAACTGCATGAGAACAGGAATTTTATTTGTCTCACTCTCTATTGAGTACCTAACCACTGCCTGCAGTGCTTATTGTATGTATAGGTATTTTAGCAACAGCAATGACAAAAACCTTGCTGAATGGCCAATGAAATACAGTTCTCGTGAGACATAAAATAGAAATCAAAGAAAGAAAAATAAAATCAGTGCTGATATTAATTTTTACAATTAGTGTGCTTAAGGATGCCAGATCATATCTGAAGTTGACAAATGCCAGTAGGATATTTTGGGACTACATTTTATGCTAAAAGATTAATTAATGAGCCTATTTAACCCCCTGGTTTTTATAATAATCCCTGTGCACTTCAAGTATAACACAGATCTTGTCTATGTATATTTAGTCTTGTTAGACTCATTTTTGTATCACACAAGCAACATCAAATAACGGTTTGGCTATGCCAGCTAGGCTATACTGCTGTGATACTGTTTTTAATTATCACACTTTGAGTTTACTGTTTGGCTTTTGTTTATTTTGCCTTTACATTTTCCTTTTGCTTACAAGTTTAGTGTGCCTTAGATTCACAATAGTTGTAGCTGCTTCTTTAGCTTTGACCTTTCACATTCTTCTCAGCCATGGATGGCACTAGCTTCCTGGCTTTACCAACTCTTGGCAGTCAGAGCACAATCTGTTAGACTCAATCTTAATGTCAGTTCCTTTGGCTGGAGGACCTCGGGAGAGGGAGAACTGGACAGGTGTAAGCAAAACCCAGGCCAGGGTGAGATGCACATGAGATAAATGTATGGAAACATATTCTCACCCCTATACCACTGCCAGACACTGATTCTGTTTTCTACTATGAAGAAGACTTGTTCTCAATGTCTACAGTACCTCCTAACAGATAGACTGATAAAGACTAATGACATAATTTCTAGATTTCAAAGAGCCAGAAAAAGAATTTTCTGGTATGGTGACTATGATGGTGAATTTTGTGCCTGCTTGACTGGGCCACAGGATGTCATTCTAGATGTAAGGAAGTTTCTGGATGAGATTATCATTTGAATCAGTGGACTGAGCAGAAGAGAGGGGCCTCCCTGAGGTACAGGATTCTCATCCAACCCGTTCAAGGCTAAAATAGGACAAACAGACTGAATAAGAGAAAATTCTCTCTCTCTCTCTCTGCCTGATTGTCTTCAAGTTGGAACATAACCTGGTAGAGGAGGACATAATCTTATGCAACGAAGAAGTGGCTGCTTACTCAAGGTCACATGTTACAGAAAATGGAAGAGGTTATGGAAAGGGTTAAGACTGCAATTATTCATATCTCATAAGCCAAAAGGACTCACAAAAATCATTACAAGAAAAAGTCACATCACCAACAAATAAAGAATGACAGGATCAAGGAATGAAGCCATGCTCTTAAGTGAAATAAATAGGACACACATGTGTAAATACTAAATATTTTCTCTAGTATAATAAACTGAATGTGTAAATAAGGATTAAAATGATTAAAACAAATAATTGACAATTTGAAATAGGAAGGAAAGGTCCAAAGGGGTAGAGGAAGTGGGAGGGGAAGGGGAAAGGAAAGAAGGGAAAGGAAAAATTATGAGAAAAGAAAAAAAATGGAAATGAAGTCTATGTAAATAGGGAAGGGTGGAGGGGGTGAAGGGTGCACAGGTAATGGGGAAAAAATAAGAAGTAAGATACATCATGTATAGGTACAAGCACCCAATGATAAATGTAAACGTATTATATACCTAAAATGTACCAATAAAAGAATTTAAGGAAAAAAATAAAGGAAAGGAGAATGAAAACTGACTCATAGAAAATCTTATGAACATGTTGTAAAAGTCCTGTAATAAATTTGATTCACTTATAAATTCACAAAAAACATTTGTCTGACTGAGGAAATTCAAACTGACACTATTCATCAAACAAGAGAAGAAGAACAAATAGAACTCACATTGAGCTGAAGTTCATCTGTCCACTGCCCAATCAGACGATAGCCAGGGTTGGTGGTGTTTGTTGTCTGGTACTGGAAGATGTCATAACGCCCAGGTGCATCTCCATTCTTGTTAAACATCACTGGGGTACCAGCACTACCTGAAGAAGACAAGAAAAAGTTTTTAGACTCAAACAAGATTCCTTCCACCTCTTGTGTTATGGGTGATCCTGAAGAACTGTAGAAAACAAGATAAGAGATTTCTGACTTGCTTAAAAAGTTAACCCAATGGTCCTACCTACAACTGATAGTTAGGTAGGTAGGTTATCACCAGAGTCTGAGTACTAACTATACAAGATAGGAAGACAACATGCCTCCCTCTTTTGAATAGTTCTAGATCTCAACATTCTTTCAAAGTGTATTCTAAACTGTTTCCTCTACTGAAGAATAAAAACTGTACATACTATTTTTCAGAGATGCCCATCATAATGCTGCTGTTGCTATGTTTATCATGATGATCATTATTATTTTAGCTTTTATCCATCCCTAAATTATGGTCAGTAAGGAACAGTTTATACTGTTGCATTTATAGGGTATGTGTATAATATATACATATATATGCACACACTACATACATTTACCATTTGTGTGTATATGTGTGCATATAAGGCTAAATGAATGAAAGAATGAAAGACCTTTAACATTAAATTCATGGAAAAACTGAGAAAACATAAAAAGAATGCAGAAATGAGTTTTGGTTAGTTTTAGCAACAGTCATAATCACAAAACATCAATAACTGAGTTCTATTTCTTGCACGGTTCCACAGAAACAGGAAAAATACCACTGGCCTCCTAGTATATAGCTGCAGATTACTACTTGGTTAATATCCTTACCAGAAAACAACACTTTATTTCTTATCATTTACAAGTAAATTTGTAAGTCATATACAAGTTGGAATAGAATCACTGATAACAGAATTAACTACTACTATTTTTTTTTCTGATGGGAAGAACTGGGGTAAAGTGTTAGGCAATGAGCATGAAGCACTTTTCAAAACTGCTCCTTATAAACAGTCATTAAAAGTGGCAGAGCTCTGCATCTGGTTAGCAATGTTTTTAGACTCTGCAGAGTTTGGGCCACCATGAGTATTTACATTAATGACATGGATAGAAGAAAATATAAATATGTTGTGGTTGATTACTTGAGTTAGGTACTGTAGAAAGTGAGAGATTCAGACTGGAAATGTGAAAAGATGAGTTTAGTGCTCACAGATCCCAGAGGTAAGAGGGCAATGCATTTCACAGCAGGACTAAGGGGAAGGGAAGGATAGGCAGCAATGAGGACATAAGCACTAAATCTGAAGGCAGGAAGCAAGAGAGACAGGGACAGTGCTATAGGTGAGAGACTATGCTGGTATTCAGGGTATCAGCGAGGTGGGTTTCCTGCGACATGGTTGGGTTTAGAGAGCACAAAGCTGAGCATGGAAACTGTGGATTATATTACTGGGCTTACCAGGCACCAACCAGAGAAAGATGGTCCAGTGGTTAGAGCACAGACCTCTTAACTCTCTGGAACACAGATACAGGAACTGGGTGGAGACTACCTTAAAGTATGTAGATCAAGGGTGACAAGATGGACAAGACAACAAGATGGACACAGAGGAAACATTCATGTGAATGAAAGTTATGACAGCATGTTAACTAGACAGGACAAACTACTCTTAAAATAGTATTTTTAAAAAGCCAAAACTTGAAGAAGAAAATATGATATTGACAATGTTCTGACATCAATGGCAATTCAAAATAAGAATGAAATTAACATAAGAAACTAAAGGTCCAGAAGAAGGTATAATGCACCGAGACATAAGGAGCATATGAAGTTGCAAACTCATATGGAAAGTGACCACACAGGAAGTGAGCATTCAATGTTCTAGGCAGATTGAGGAATAGCTAAAGAACTGCACACTATCCTACAGTTACTGGTGGCAAGATTTTATGACACCATTGGCTATTAAAAAAGAACAAAAGAATCAGAGCTCATGGTAGGCTGAATAATGGTCTAAGTATCTCCAAATTCTAACCCATGGGACCTATGAATGCTACATTTTACGGCAAAAGGGTCTTTGCTGGTGTGATTAAGTTAAGAACCATGACATGGGAGATCATCCTGGATAATCTGAGTGGGCCCAAAGGACTCACAAGCAAGAAGGAGGAAGGAGGAAATGTGATGATAAAAACAAGAAGCTGGTATAGTTACAGAAGGGACTCAGGTTAAAATAAAAACCTGGGCCCCTTTTAGAGGATAGAAAAAGTAGCTTCTGTATGGCTATGAGCAGCAAGCAGTTTTCAGCAGTTTCGTGACTTGAAGCTGACAGATTCTGGTTTTGACACCTGTCTCTGTGGAAACAACACTGTCCCTCCTAGTGCAAGCAGCCATGCCTACCCAAATTCCCCTCTTAGTCCACAAGCCCCTAGCAACAAGCCCAATACAATATCGTATGAATCAAGTGTTGACCCTCAGAGGGGTAGAGATGGAACCCCTCCATAAAACAGAACTGCTGTGCAAATTCTATGATGATCCAGCTCTGGGAACCCTCACTCCTCCAGAGTGGCTTTGTACTGCTTCCTATTACAATAAAGCAATAAATAATAAAGTACTTTCACTCTGCACTGATATTCTCTTACTCCTCTTCCTCTTTCTACATGAGAGAGAGAGAGAGAGAGAGAGAGAGAGACAGAGAGAGAGACAGAGAGAGAGACAGACAGGCCTGGTGAGGGTGAATCTGGGGATACCTAGGCCTCAGACCCACAGGACATGTACCACTGGAATGGTGCAAGGCATGGGTCATAAAGTGAGGGGACCTCCAGAAACTAGAGAAGGTGAGAAAGTGGATTCTCCCCAGTATCTCCAGAAGGAATCAGCCCTGCCTTCAACTTACCTAGGGCCCTTGCAACCTGTGCTGGACTTCCACACTATAGAACTGTGAGCTGATACTTTGCTGTTATATAAGTCATTTAGTTTGTGGTAACTTTTTATTGTAATAGTAGGAAATCAGTTAGAGCAGCAGGACAGAGAATATCACACTTTCTAACTGTACAGATGAGAAAGCACAGTTAGGTCTAGAGAGGGGGAGACACTTGTTCAGTCACTCAGCTAATTAAGCAAGAATAGTGATAACTTACTTTTCAGTCTTTGAAAATATGTTTGAACTCCAGGTTTACTAGTTAATATATATGTGTGCCCTTGTACTTAAGAAACTGAAAGTGAAACATACAGTATTCAGTTTCATTCTCCTGATCATCACTTATAATACATTTCTCAGAGTTGGAGTGAGGATTAACTCTAATAACATATTTAATGTACAGACAACCCTTATTTAACAACTGTGTTCCCTTCCTGTGATTAGATTATTAAATGAATTGGTCACTAAATGAGGAATTGCATAGAATATGTACTTTACAATATTGAGAACAAAGAAATGGTCAAAGGAAGCTCCAACTTGACAATAATACTATAATATATAACAGAACATAAAACTATAGTACTGCCCTATACAGTACAATCAGCGAAAATTACAGTACTGTATTGTAGAAGAAGCCAACATAATGCTGCACTGGCCCTCATATTCCTGTGTTGTAAGTCTGAATATAGGTCATAAGTCTGAGCTCTGGGTTGAAGTCCAAACAGTGGTTAAACAGATACGTCATTAAACAAGGATTATTTGTAGTTACTTCTGGGTCTTTTACATAATAAATGCTCAGTAGATGGTAATGATTTTTATGTTTTTGTTTTGTTTCAAAGACAGATATTCTTAAATTCAACAAGCTGGCACTGAATTCAAGATACTTATGCCTCAGCCTCCCTAATCGCTGGTCTTATAGTCATGTGCTACTGCTCCTGGCTTTGTAATGAATTTTGCTTGCTTTAATTTCCATCGTTGTTTAATCAGCTGATATCTCAGAACCAGACAGCAGCCATGATCAAACAGATTAATGTCTATTCCAGTGTACCAATGTTGCCTCTTGTACCTGGTATCGAATTAAAATTTCTCCTCTAATAGAAACATTTTTTTTTAATACAGTAGGATGGACCCCTCCTTGAGAATGGGCACTAGAGAGAGGCCTGCCCAGATTCCATCGGTAAGTGTATGCAGATCCCAACAAGAAGCCTGTTAGGACCAGAGCTGCACTGGTGCATGTATATTTCACCCAGGGCCCCACCCAGACACCAGCAGCTTGAGCCCACAGGTCCCAGCCAAAGTCCTGCCTGGAAAACAGCTACACAGGTGGGCAAGCAACAGCCAGCAGCCCACCCAGAAACCATCGGTAAGTGTATGCAGACCCCACCTAGAAGCCCTCTTAGACACCAGCGTCTTGGGTGCACAGCCCCCAGCCAAAGGCCTTCCCAGACAACAGCTACAGGGGGTCAGGTCCCAGCCAGAGGCCTGCCCAGTTACCATCCCAAGTGTGCGCAGGCCCCAGCCAGAACCTTGACTGGACAACAGGGCAGCTCAGGGATCTAGAAGGCCACCATTCTGAACCCAGGAATTGGTGCAGTGGTGAGTAGCAGTGAAAAGGCCACTCGGTGGCTTGTGAGAATTGAAGACCACTGGGTGAACAAAAAGTTTCCTCAACAAAGGCACAGCATGCTGCATCTGTTTCAATGAGAAGACACGTAAACAAGTCTCAAAAATAGACTTCCACATCACCTAAGGCAATCCCAAAGGGAAACAAGATGGAACAATCTGATACTAAACCACCTGTACTCCCTGAACTGGCAACAAAAGAGGATCTGGAAAAAAATGAAATCAGAAATAATTTCTCACATAACAACAGAGATTGTGTCCATAGTGCAAGACATGATTAATAACTCTAGAGAGGACACAGATAAAAAAATAGAAGAGCTGAGGAACATGATGGGGTCCCAGCATGGGAAAACAAATGGAATCCATAAAACAGATGCAAAAAGATTTCCAGGAGATTAAAAACTCCATTGAAAGTTTACATAGCAGAATAAGCCAATGTAAGGACAGAATATCAGATATAGAAGACAGGATTGTAATTAGTGACCAGGAAACAAAAATTTCTTAAAAATAGCAAGGGACCATGAGAAATCAATCCAGCAGCTGCTGGATGATGCAAAGAAGAATAACATAAGAGT